TGCGACATCTTCATTATGTGTTCTAACCACCTCACAGTCATATCTCTGAAGTAATCGATAAGAATCTCTTTTACACAGCATCCAGCAACTCTGTCTGAGCAATATCTTCAAAGTGCCGATAACATGCATGGTCAAAAAGGAGCACGTACTGAGCAAAAAAGTCGATGAACTCGAGCAAATGCAATACAGTAAAAAATACGCCGTTGAAGCGGGCCTGCGGGCGAAGAGGAATAAGACCTTTGCTGCAGAAGTGAAAATTGATTAACGTTAATTAGAGATAGCATTTCTAAAGGTCATACATCATAAATATGGCTTGTATCTAAGGTTTCAGCTCTGCTAGCCTTTGATGATGACGATACAATAACAAGTGACACACCGAACTGAAAAAGGAACGGTTAATCAGTGTTCTCTAGAACTACCGGTTCCTGAGTCGAACTTCGGCAAACTTACTTCGCTTCAAAGAAACATCATTTCTGTTTTGCACTGGGGATAAGCATCGTTTTTGAAAATACCCAGCATAAAGAATCATTGTTAAAGGGATGTGCTTAGACATACTTAGAAAAGATGCTTCACATCACAATACTTAAATTCCTTATACACCATCGCAAACAAGAAAAACAAAAAAAAATCAACATGCATATTTTTTTTAACATTTGCGAAATGAAACGATGCATAAAATGAACCATCCGATCATTCGGTTCTCGGAAGGCGTTACAGAACAAAGGCGAGAGCTACTGGCAAAACTAGCTTGTATATAACAACAACAGAGGAAATAATTATGTAAACGGTAATTATCAACAAAAAATATAAACGGATTGATTATTATTAAATAAAATGAGTGCATTAAATGGCACGACGAATAAAGGTACATCTTTCTATAACGTACAGAGTGTAGGAGTGAAAAAGCTGAAAGAAAAGAAAATATTTTACGAAACATCTCGTAACTTTAAAGATCTTAAACAACTATTTTATGAATTACCTTAGGTGAAGGCGCAGAAATGTCGAAACAGGCGACCGTACAGCTGACAAACAACGCGATACAATCAGGGTGCACATTGCAGCTTTGCGACGACTTTAGCTGAAAAATGAACGGATAATGCATGAAAATCAGGACAGCTACTGTCTGAAAAAAATACTAATAAATGGCGATAGTCTTACGAAAAGCCAACCGATTAATTTTCGTCCAGTAGTTATGTGGATACGATTTACACTTGAAAAAAATATCATCTACGGGAAAACACATTTTAATACAGTATAAATTAATGAACTTAAAGCATAAATTAAATCCTCAACTTTCCAGACAGTAGCAAAATTAATCAGCAGGTAAGTATGCACATTTTCACATTCGCCTTTGCATATTGTTTAGTACAATGTATTTTTAAAGATACGAAAAATATCCATCAGATTTGGTAAAAGACTAAGGA